TGTCTGATAACTAATGGTGCTCACAAATCAAGACTTGATCAAAATCTGATGTGCCAATATTTACCACGAGTTGTTAAATTCACAGCAACACATGCATGTATATTTAATAAAAACAGCACTGAACAATGTAGTTATTTTGTATTTTGGTATGAATAACTGTTTTTTAAAAACCAGTTACTGGACACATGTACAAATGTAAACAAATTAGGTGGCCTATATGTTGTTGTATAAATGTAAACAAGTTAGGTGGCCTATAAGTGGTCGTATAAACGTAAGCAAGTTAGGTGGGCTATATGTGGTTGTAGGAATGTCAGTATTGTCTTGTATCATGGTGTGATATCTTGGACAATAGTATTGTCTTGTATCATGATAATATCTTGGACAATTGTATTGTCTTGTATCATGACGATATCTTGGACAATAGTATTGTCTTGTATCATGGTGATATCTTGGACAATACTATTGTCTTGTATCAGGGTGATATCTTGGACAATAGTATTGTCTTGTATCATGGTGATATCTTGGACAATAGTATTGTCTTGTATCATGGTGATATCTTGGACAATAGTATTGTCTTGTATCATGGTGATATCTTAGACAATAATATTGTGATACTTCACTGAAAGAACAACAACTTATTAAAGCATGAATGAAATTGTTATTATTTTCAAAAGTAGATTTGTTTTGAGTTGTTTGCTTGTAAGTTTGGCTCTTTCTAAGCCAATGAATGGTGTAAATGAGGCTGAATGGCCTAATATAACTGTTCTCATATATTCCATTAACATTCAAATTCAGATTCAAGGTATTTAAATAGTTAATGAGGCATTTTGAATGAAAACTGATAAAACATGGAGCAGGTAAAATAAGCGACCTCCTGTTATATTTCTTATAAACAATATTTCATTTAAATGAATGTCACTACTCTTGGGTTTTACAACAAAAGATATCAAAGCTGATTTTTCAGCTCATTATTAGGTCATCTATTAGGTTGTCTCTCCAACAGTTGTAGTTTTGATATAGTCCAACATTTTTAGTGAATTACATAATTTTAATGAAATGTTCTGTAACAAACTTTGAAATAATGACATTTTAACACAGTTTTGTGTGAAACCCTTAAATGCTGTAAATCTTTCTTAAAAGTTGCTTTTGGAGGCTGTTGTGATGAGCAGATTTGTTATCGCAACAAAGTATTTATTTTATAAAAGATACTAAGTTAGGGGGCACACTATTAGCATGTGGGATAGGAATTTGAGCTGACATGCCCAAATTGACGTTCCTGCATGTCAATCTTTTTTTAAACCAGTCAGGCAAAAAGTTTTGTCTTCACAATGAAATAAATTGTTGTACGTGTGACACTGAACACAGCATGCTAAACATTTTGAATAGAATTGTTGAATATTTTAATATAATTGCTATTTCATAAGTGTGATTTTGAGCCGTAACACAGCGATATCAGCAATATTTTGTCCCTAGGAAATGTGACCAGCATGGAGGATACATGTAAATTCTATGCAGATACCAGATCATTCTGAAAGCATGTAACTGTCCTTGTGTTTACAAGGCCGGGAGTGATGTAATTGTTAAAAATGTGCCAGTAAGCAGTACGGTAACCAGCCAAATTTCTCGACTACTTCAAAACTTCTTTAAAATTTGAAAAATAATAATTCAATTTGAGAATGACAATCGACCACCCCACTAACTTTTATAATTTTTATTGAAAATCATGTCATTAGTTGTGTAATTCATTTCTACACATGTGAAAATATACTATGTAGTCTAAGCCC